TCCTAACCCCCACCCCCCCCCCACTCCCCATTTCCCCGTCTCCCTCACTTTGAACCCAAAACCTAGCCGCCCTAATTCCCCTTCTCTTCAGCACCAGCTGCCGCCTGCCGGAAATCGCCCCACGGCGGCGGTGACGCTCCAAACTCCCCCAAATTAGTACCATGCAACCCCCGTCCTATCCTCTTTCTAAATCCACCATTAGTTTCCCCAATCCCCACCTATTTTCTCTAAATCCAGATCTGAGACTTTGAAGAAAACCCTAAATCCACCCTAATTTCGATTCCTTGCTTCCTAGGGCTCGATTTGACTCGAGACTTGCGTTAAGCAATCGTTCTTGTTAAGAACAATTGACTAACGCTAGTCTTGGCTTGTTTTGAGGGTCGCCTCTTCTCGATCAAACCACTGTGTCTGGCCAATGTCGTCGCCTTCCTTGTTCGTTGGGTCATTTCAGTCATCGGCTCTTTCCGGTTAAACCAGTACCCTCCTCTTTATTTTCTTTGTTTTGTTTGCTTTCTGATTTTTACTTTAATTTTTGTTTAAATTAATTTTATTATCTACTTGCTTAGATTAATTTGGATTCTTAACTATTTAGGCTAGATTTCTCATGTTATTTTCTTTTCTTGTTCTGTTTCTTCCTTTTTTCTATTCTTTTCGTCCTTGGTGTTTGGATGCACGTTTTAGGTTATGTAGGTTATTTCGTATTTGATTTGGTTGTTCCATGCCAGATTCAATCTGTTAGGTAATATTTTGCTATGATTTGAGTTAGTTTGTCATCGGCCGTTAAATTAGATTTCTGAAATTCATCATGAAATTGAGTCCTTTTAGGTTTATTTCAAGATTCCAGATATTCACTTTTGGCTTTGTTGTTTGCTGTTTGATTCGTCTATTTGATATTTGCTTGTTTGTTTTTGTTTGCCATAGTTTACAAGTCATTAAGGATTTGTAGGGGTTAATTGAACAATAAAGAAACTTAAGGGGTTTGCTTGAAGGGTGGGTAAATATAATATAAAGACCCTGCTGGAGGGTTCTAGAATAGGGGCAATTGGCCTCATTTGGTTAGCACAAAGTGCAGAAGCCAATGAGGGACAACCAGCTGTCCAAGTTTGTTAGAAAGATGTCTTTTCAGACTGAGAGGGAATATTTCCCAAAACAGTTTTCCAGCACATGGCATTTAGGCCTATAAATAGTACCCTTCTCTTCATTCAAAAAAGACACGCTGATACAGATTTTAAAACCCTAAAAAAGACTCAAAAGTCTTGGGCACTATTTCATTGAGAGTAGTCTGTTTTCTTTGGATTTCTCTGTAGCAAGAACTTGGAAAAACATCTGTTGGATTTCTGGTTTTCTGGGTTGAATATGGTTTAAATTGGAGTTGTGCATTGCTGTGAAGTTGCTATTATCCTCACTCATTTGCTTGCTGAAATTCTTATCTCACTTTTGCTTTGTTCTTGATATCCAGGTACTCCTATGAACTTCTTTGAATGACAAATGAAGCTGTAAAGCATGTATTTTTCTTGTGATGTATA